ATGCGCTTATCACGTTTGATTCATGAAGTTTCTTCTCGGTAAAGCTGCATGTTAATATTTTTTTCTTCTTATAAGTCATATAATTAGCAGAGAGAGAGAGAGAGAGCGATAAAGGAGAGGGAGGAGAGAGGGGGAAGGGAGAAGTGAGGAAGAGGCGATAGAGGAGCGAACGGCGATAGCAGCGGAAAGGGCATCGACCTGTTGAAAAGTTGAGTTGGGCGAGCGCGGTTGGCCCGAGCATCGCGTTCGGCCGTCGATATTACTTTGATTTTAATGTCAGCGGCTCCTTCGTGAATCCGTCCGGGGCTGAGAAAGGCCGCGAATTATGAAATGATGATTTATAGGTCATTGCGACAGTAATTATTAAAAGGTGCTGCCGTGTAATGGTCAGCGAATTCATAGAGAAGAGGATGTCTATATGCATGTGAACCACTCCTTTTCTTGTGCAGTATTCTCTAACGCCCTTTTGCCTTCCTTGCAGCCTGCGCAGCGTGGAGCGGCCGCCGCCTGAGGACGAGGCCGTCGCGGGCGCCGCCGTCGGCCCCGAAGCCTCCGCCAGCGCCCCCGCCCGCGCCGCCGCCCCCAGCGAGGGCGCTGCCGCCGGCGGGGACGAGGGCGCCGCGGAGGCCAGCGAGGCCGCGACGGAGGCCAGCACCGAAGCGGCTCCGCAGAGAGTGTGGCAGTGCGCGGGGCCGAGGGCGAGGGGGGAGCCAAGGGCCAGGGCGGGGTCAAGGGTCAGGTGGCGGGAGGGAGTGAGCGCAGCGCGGAGAATGTGACGAGTGTGTCCAACGCCTCGGGGGGCAGCAAGGACGCCAAGGACGACGGAAAGGAGGAGAAGGAGGAGGAGGAGAAGGCGAGTGCGCCGCCGCCCGCGGAGCGCATGCTCGGGGACGACCCCGAGGGCGCCCTGACCCGCGACAGCAGAACTAGCCCCGACGGCGCAATGCCCGAGGCAAAGATCACAGACAAGCCAAGAACTAGTGCGGGCGCGCGCGCGGGCGGCGCGGACAAGGACCCGGAGAGCCTGAGTCTGGCGGACGACATGATGAGCCTCATGAAGGAGGAGGCGCCGGCCGTGGCCGTGGCGGCGCCGGAGGAGACCCGCGTCTCGGCCGCCGCCAGCGCGCCCGCCAGCACGGAGCGGCCCGTGGCCCCGGCGCCGCGCCGCGCCGGCGCCTCGGGCTCCGCGGGCCGCCTCATCAAGGTGACGGGGCTGCGGGTGGAGCAGCACTCCAAGGGCATCTCGTACGAGGACTTCGCCGGCTCCGTGCTGGCCGGCGCCGACGCGCACGTGCGCCTCTTCGGCGTGGGCCTCACCATGGCCACGGAGCTGCAGTTCACGGCCAACGAGGGCGAGTACGGCGACTCCTGCAGCTCGCACACCACGCCCGAGTTCAAGGTAGGCCTCGTCGGGAGCAAGGGGGGGGGGGGTAGTGGGCGGGGCTTCGTCGGGAGAGCTCTCCTGGTGGGGAAACAGACCTGGTGCATGCATTCGTTTTTATTGGTATCTTTTATCTTTTTTTCTCCTTTTTTGACGGGACGGTGTGTTGTTTTCTGCGCCTGTCAGCGTCTGTGCCTTTGCCTGCGTCTTTATCTGCAACGTCTGTCTGTCTCAGATTAGCAAGCTGCCTCGTCTAGCGTCTGAATTTATATCATTCAGGTGATGCGAGTAAGATCAGGCCAAGAATGTGGGTTGATGGATGGAAATGTCTTTCTTTCTTTCTTTCTTCGTGTGTATTATGGCCGATGAAGCGAGAAGGAGAGAGAGAGAGGGGAGGGGAGAGAGAGAGGAGAGGAGGAGAGAGAGAGAGAGAACAGGAGGGAGGAGAGAGAGAGAGACAGAGAGGGGAGGGAGAGAGAGAGAGACAGAGAGGGGAGGAGAGAGGAGAGAGACAGAGAGGGGAGGAGAGAGAGAGAGACAGAGAGGAGGGAGAGAGAGAGAAGACAGAGAGGGGAGGAGAGAGAGAGACAGAGAGGGGAGAGAGAGAGACAGAGAGGGGGGAAGAGGAGAGAGACAGAGAGGGGAGAGGAGAGAGAGACAGAGAGGGAGGGAGAGGAGAGAGAGAGAGAGAGAGAGAGAGAGAGAGGAGAGGAGAGACAGAAGAGGGGGGAGAGAGAGAGACAGAGAGGGAGGGGAAGGAGAGGAGAGAGAGAGAGAGACAGAGAGGGGAAGAGAGAAGAGGGGGGAGAGAGAGAGAGACAGAGAGGGAGGAGAGAGAGAGAGAGAGGGAGGGGAGAGGAGAGAGAGGAAGAGAGAGAGAGAGAAGAGGGAGGAGAGAGACAGAGAGGCAGAGAGAGGGAGAGGGAGAGAGAGAGACAGAGAGGGAGAGAGAGACAAGGGACAGAGAGAGAGAGAGAAGAGAGAGAGAGACAGAGAGGGGAGAGGAGAGACAGAGAGAGCGAGAAGGAGAAGAGGAGAGAGAGGAGAGAGAGAGAGAGAGAAGACAGAGAGAGGGAGAGAGAGAGAGAGAGACAGAGAGAGAGAGAGAGAAGAGAGAGAGGAGGGGAGAGAGAGAGAGAGAGAGAGACGAGAGAGAGAGAGAGAGAGAGAGGAGAGGAGGAGAGAGAGAGAGAGAGAGACAGAGAGGGGAGGGAGAGAGAGAAGAGAAGACAGAGAGGGGAGGAGAAGAGAGAGAAGAGAGAGCAGAGAGAGAGAGGGAGAGAGAGAGAGAGAGAGAGAGAGAGAGAGAGAGAGAGAGAGAGAGAGAGAAGGAAAGAGAGAGGAGAGAGAGAGGGAGGGAGGGAGAGAGAGAGAGAGAGAGAGAGAGGGGAGGGAGAGAGAGAGAGAGAGAGAGAGAGAGAGAGAGAGAGAGAGAGACAGAGGGAGGGGAAGAGAGAGGAAGAGAGAGAAGAGAGAGAGAGAGAGAAGAGAGACAGAGAGGGGAGGGAGAAGGAGAGAGAGAGAGAGAGAGAGGAGAGGAGAGGAGAGAGAGGGAAGGGGAGGAGAGAGAGAGAGAGAGAGAAGAAGAGGGAGGAGAGAGGAGAGAGAGAAGAGGGGAGGGAGAGAGAGAGAGAAACAGAGAGGGGAGGGGAGAGAGACAGAGAAGGGGGGAGAGAGAGAGACAGAGAGGGTGGAGAGAGAGACAGAGACAGAGAGGGGAGAGGGAGGAGAGACAGAGACAGAGAGGGGAGGGAGAGAGAGAGACGAGAGAGAGGGAGAGGAGAGAGACAGGAGAGGGAGGGAGAGAGACAGAGACAGAGAAGGGGAGGGAGAGAGAGAGACAGAGAGGGGGGAGGGAGAGAGAGAGACAGAGAGGGGAGGGGAGAGAGAGAGACAGAAGGGCGAGGGAGTGAGAGAGGACAGAGACA